CCCCCCCCCCCCCTCGGCCTCTGCCTGCCAGCCAGCCTCCTTTTCCCGCGCCAGATCCACTTCGCACCTTGATCGTCGGCCGGTCTGCTCATTTCCGCTAGCCGTCCTCCTCCCGCCTTTTTGCTCGTCCCTCCGTTTGGTGTCCCCGCCCGTGCTCCTCCCAAACACCATGCTGTCCCGCGCGCTGTCGCTCCGGCCTCTGAGTCTGTCGCTCGCCCGCGCCACGCCTTCGCTCGCCCGCGCGGCCTATTGTGCGTCTCTGGCCCGTTCTCCCTTCCTTTTTCCCTCGGCCGCCAGAGGTATTCCCCCTGCCATGTCCCTGCTGACCTTTGCCCCCTGCCCTTCTGTCTGCCTTCTCCGCCTGTCTCCACACACACACACACACACACACGCACGCACGCACGCACGCACGCACGCACGCACGCACGCACCACCGACAGCCGGAGGGATTGTTCCCAATGTGCGCGTCACCCAAACCGGTGGCGATCCCCCCCACCTGCCGGACGACCAGTACCCCGCTTGGCTGTGGGACTTCGAGAGCCCGGAGTCTCACCTGAACATCACCCGGCCGCTGGTCCGTGGCCAGAAGGTCAAGCCCAGCTACACGACCAAGGTCCTCACTGCCTCCGAGATCGACAGCGAGGCGAACCCCAAGAAGTTCCTCAAGCGCCAGCGTCTGGAGACCATCCGCGGGGAGAACTTCCTGCGCGACAAGAGCGGCTAATGGCGCACGCACACACACACACACACACACACACACACACACACACACACACACGATCAGACCCACCCCGGGTTGTGCTGTTTTTCCCGCCTTGGGCCTCGCAAGATGGCTCGGCCTTTCTTTCTTTTCTCCTCCTCCTCCCTCCTTTGCCCGCCTCCGGCCACCAGTGTGATACCAGTGTCCCCCTCGCCCTTCATACACCACGATATTTTCCCGAAGAAAAAATACATAGACTCCTTCCCAGCCACTTGTCCTCCCATCCCGTGTTGCTTGTCGACATCGCCGCTTCCCTACACACGCGAGCAGGGTGAGGCTCAGCAGCAGGGCCGCTTGGCCGCCCGGGCATCCAGCCCAAAGGAAACACCCATGCCCTGCCCGCGGCCACGGCTTGAACACGAAGTAAAGTGACTCCTCACCAGGACGGACAAGTGTCCTCCTGTCCCGCCCGGGCCGACAGGAGGAGGGTGCATCGAAAATGCGGGCCACCGTGCCGGGAAGCAGGCCAAGGAGGCCAGCACGGCCGGGAGAACCGCGCCGGAGGCCAAATCCAAGAGACGCGCCCTGGGTGGGGTGGGATTCTGAGGATATCAGAACTCATTCGTATATCACGTGCGTCTGCGCGCTTTGCCGACATGCAACTCAGGCTCCGCTCTTGGCCGCGGCTCCGGCCGGCCTCCGGCGGCGATGTGACCGCGCTGAGTCAGAACATGCGGCGGCCCAACGGAAACACGCCCTCCCGGGGAACACGACTGTCCTTTTTTCATACAGAAGGAAGTCCGCTCTAAGGGCCGGGGCGGGGAAACACGCCTGCCGGCAGGCGGCGCGGGCAATCTCAGCCCAGCAGGAAGGGGGCGCGGGGGCTGCCTCCCTTGTGGGCCGGGGGACATGGGGACCGGCCGGCGGAGGCACGACGGGACGGGC